CACACACACACACACACACACACACACACACACACACACACACACCTTAACAGCTCAATGGTACCTTCCCCCTCTTTCAGCCTAAGACCATATTGAGTAGGCTGTAACACTTGAACCACACATCTAGATCTAGTGCAACCAAACAGAACTTTTATTTAGCTTTAAGTTAAATGTACACACAGAGAAAATGTATGTTTTTGTTCCCTTGAAACTAACCACGGGCCCAAGGTTAAGAATCCTCAATAAAATGAATGCCCTGTGATCCCTGACCACCCCCTAAAAAAAATAAGTTAAATGTAAATAGATACACATTGACATTAAAAATCCAAAAAATATAAATTAAATCTTATTCAATGCATTTTATGTTATTTACTAGTTTGTATCAATAAGACTGACTCAAAATAAGTTAAAATAGGAGATGTATTCCAGATTGGGGGGGGGTGTTTGTTTGGAGTATTTTTTTGAGACAGGGTCTCACTTTACAGTTGAGGCTGGCCCTGAACTCACTTTGTATCCTAGGCTGCCCTTGAACTCAAAGTGATCCTTCTGCCTCAGCCTCCCAAGTGCTGGGATTACAGGCATGCACCACCATGCCTAGCATAATATTAAAGTTAAATAAATTATGAACTTATCTTTTAAAAAACAGTAAAACCATAATTTGTCTCCTTTTCCAATTTGCAGATTCCTTTTCATTTCAATATCAGCATAGTCATATTTCCATCTTTTTCTAATTAAAAGCCTTTAATTTAGAGGGCAGGAGATGTAGTTTAGTGGTAGAACACTTACTTCATTGCACAAGTCTCTGGGTTCAAATCTCCAGCACTACAAAAAAAAAAAGGCTTTCACTTAAGAAGAATACACACAGAGGAAAAAATGAGGAAGAAGGTATTTTCAAACTGTGTAGCCAATTGCAATTTTTACATGGGCACATATTTTTATATAACTAACTTCCTTTCCTTCCTTCCTTCTTTCTCTTTCTTTCTTTCTTTCTCTCTCCCCCGCCCTCTTTCTTTCTTTCTTTTTTGGAGTACTGCAGATAGAACCCAGGGCCCCATTCATCCTAGGCAAGAGCTCACCAGTGAGCTACATCCTCATACAAATATTGCTTTTATAATAAATAAATAAGTAAAAAAGAAATTATCTAGAATTACCTCAGCAAAAACTTTAAAGTTGCACAACTGTAACAAAAGAGGCTAAACAGTTTGAGCACTCTAGTTTCCTCCTATCGATCACAGATCTAGTATAGAGCTAAATATTTCCATTATCAACATCTGTGGAGGTTAAATATTCCTTATTGAATTTTCTGACAGGAAAAAAAAACATGCTTAGAAATTTTAGCTAAGAATGGTAATGCAATACATTTAAGTGATTATCACACCACTGGGAAAATATCTAGATTTGGCTCACCACAAATTTGGCCCAAAAAGGAAAACACTTTAAAAACCTAATAGATTGCAAATTTCTGCCACAGCCAAGTGTCTACTGTGATAACCTACTAATGGAAAATTACTTAGTCACAATTCATGTATTGAACGTTGTATACTGTAAACAGCAGGCACGCAAATCATGTTAAGAAGTTTATAAAAATACTTATAACACATTGAACTTATGTAAAATTCATGAGAACCTACATCACACTTCATATTATTGCCTCAGTACATAAATGTCTACTTCCAAATATCCTTCCATAAAGTGAATGGCTGCAATGGTTGTCAAAATTTTGACATCTAGGGCCAGGAATTTAGCTCAGTGGTTCCACTGCCTGCTTTGCAAGCACAAGGACCCGAGTTCAATCCCTGGTACAAAAAAAAAAAAATTTCTTTTTGACATCTAAACACCCTTCATTATCTTGCATTACTAAACACTAAAGACACAATTTCCATATTTCATGTCGTTTTTAAACAGTTAAATGAACATATTAAGTATTAACCATGTGCTAAACACTCCTACATATTTCACTCATTCACCTTTATATTCCTATCACAGATCTAGGCATATAATGGACACTTAATTGGCATTTGTGGAAAAAAAAAAAAGGAATGAATACTAAGATCTTTGATAGGATATTAAAAATGTTTTGTTTTGTTTTTTTGGTACCGGGGATCAAACTTGGGACCTTGCGCTTTCGAGACAGGCAGCAGAACCACTGAGCTAAATCCCTGCCCCTAAAAAATGTTTTTTAAAACAGTGGTCCCAACCCTCCACGAAATAACAAAAGGAGCTGAGAGATAAGGCAAACACATGAAAAGGTAAAAAATCACAGGACAATTAAAATTATCACTCGGCAGTAATAATTATTTGCAAAGATAGTGCAAAGACAGAGCTATAAATTATGGCCAGAATGAGATCATTATGAACTTCAGTCCTTCTGTTCTCCCAACCAGAGAGCGACACAGTATTTTAGTTTAAAAAAGAAGTCACACAGCACTCGTCCCACCCTAAAATTACAATAACTAAAGAAAATGATATAAAGAAACTTCCATAAAAGGTTTTTAAGACCTATGGTAGCCCTGAAAAAGGTTGAAACATTCCACATGAACAATCGTTTGCTGGATTCAGGACCCTGGAAGGCTCCAGCATTACAAGTCTCAGGAACAGCAACCCCTGGGCCCCCACGGAGCTTTCCACTGGACAGCCGCCCGAGAAATTTCCCCCAGCATCCGCAGTGGCTATACTCTCATCTTCCTCTCCTACCCCTCGCCCCCATCAGACAGTGGCATCTCCCTCCGGAGAAAAAAAGAGGGCGGGGGAGGCAGATTCAAAGAGAAAGCTTGCTGCGAGGTCACTTGAGGAGGAAGGTGGGAAAATGCGAGGACCGAAGATGGGGTTCTCGGTGGCAAACCAGTCTCTAGGAATCCAGGCCCACACCTCCATCCCCCAAAGTCACGCCCCTCGCCTGTCAGGCCGCGGGCCCAGACACAACCCTACCGCCTGTGCCAGAGCCCATGCTCCCAGGCCCGCGGGGAGAAGAACGCCCCTGCCCCACAAGCAGTAGCCCCTTGCTCATTCTCCCTTCCCGTCCACTTGGCCGACAAGTGACAGGTCCCGAGGGGGACGATCAAAAGCGCAGGCCATTCCGGACGACTGGTGCAACCCCGCGCTGAAGCCCTCCAACAGGCACGGGGGTGCAGACAAAACGTTCCGGACAGCCCAGGGGGATCCAGTCCAGGCCCAGCCTACCCCAGCTGGCCCACACCGGGCGGGGGTGGCACTTACTGCGGAGGTTGTGGATTAGCTCCGAGTGGCTGGCGCCGCCGGATTTCCAGGCCATCGCTAAGCACACCCGGAGCAGGTACAGAATCACCTTCAGGGCGGCGACAGTGCCTAGTAGTTTTCCCAAGAGTGAGACCACCTCCCACACGGTCACCGCCCCGCTAGCGTCCTCGCTGGAGCCGCCGCTATTACTGCCGTCGCCGCTGCTGCCGCCACTGCGCGCTCCCGGCATCCCCTGCTGCGCGCATGCGCTCTGTGACGCCGCGTAGCCGGGTGCGGCCGGGTGGGGCCGGAGACGGGTGCTGGTATACCAGCTCTGTCGCTGCCCAGCGACCGCAGGGGAGCCAGCAGAGTTAGCACAGCTGCCTCCGAGTGCCCTTTCCGGAGGCCTCTGCCTGCACACCACCTTCGTACTGCGGCTCCCAGCGCGGAGGGTTGCGTCGCTGGCTGCAGCTCCTGTTGCCGAGCGGGGCGGCAGAATAGCAAGGCGGGTTTTTGCCACCGTTGTTAGGGACTCCGCAGTCGCTGCTGAGTCAGCTGTTGCGAGCGGATCTGCTCCTGTAGCTGTCTAGGTTGTTAAAAGGTGGGCTTCCTCTGGCCTGCCTCACCCAACCCTATTGACTAATATTTAGGTTGTTTGGAGTAAGACTCCCTGTGATGAAGCCGGGATCACTTCAATAGAGCCCAAGGGCGAAGGCCCTCTCTAACCGGTTAAGTACTCCAGCCCCTTGCTTGGTGATAGGCACATCACTGGTTAAGCAAGAAACTTTGGAACCTGGTTTGTTCTCAACTCTAAAGCACAAATTCAGTGTGGAAGAATACCAGGACATGGGGTGCAGTGGGGGGAGAAAGCTTTGCTCATTTAGAACAAGACAAACGTAAAGAGCTACAGTTGGTTAAAAAATAACACAGTGTCCTATGGTGAATATGATATTCTTCCAAAGCAAGCATGCGTTTTCACCTAAGCATAAAACTGGCGCAAGTTTTATTTGCTATCAGCTCTTCCAGATCAAGAGAACTAGGGAGCATTGCCTGTCGCATCCAAATTGCTGGCAGAATCCAGCCATCTTTTAGTCCAGTAAACTTTCAGGAGGAAAACAACGATGTGTCAAAACGTCTGTGCTCCTACATCAGCAATTTCCAAAATCTTTTCCTCAAATTTTTGTCAAATGTGACACAGCCTGCTTCTGGCCCAAAATATACATTACCTACCTTCCAGTCTGTGACCATAAATAAACCCACATGCAAAATAGTGTTTTTTTACTTCAATGTTAGAAATATAACTGTCAGTTTGGGACTCTAATATATTTTGTAGTTTTCTGTTCTATGTTGCTATGGTTTCTTGGTGATCTTGAAACCTCGGGGAAAACCTCAATAAACCATTTGCTCTTAATTCCTGAATAAAGTCTCTGGACTTCATCAGTTCTTAGTTGTTTTTCTTGAGTTAACCTGTTTTATCCGCATTTTTTACTTGCATTTCTAGACTTAAGCTGCTCCACCTGCACTTAAGTAACTTACTTTTAGTTGTCTATAGATAACATCTCTGGTGTGTGGGGCAAGATGGTAATGGTTGACGAAATTTGATCCAATCACTTTCCCCCATATCTCAGGCCATAAGTATCCAGATTGTGAATTTGAGACTTGCTCTCCCATTTCCACATACTTGGTTATCTCTCAAATAAACTTTCTTTTTGGTAAAACTCATCGTTTTAATGATGGGCATACTGCACACAGGCAAAATAAATCTGGTTTGGAAACAGTCTTCCTGTTGAAAAAAACTCAAGTCTTTAATAGGAACCTGATAATTCTCTCTAAAGCTGACCTAGATAAGTTGTATTTTCCATGCAGTGCTTCCATGAGCTGGGGCTGTGAAGTAGCGTTACCAATATCAGATAAAACCAACAATATAACATGCATAGTCCTTTTTAAAAAAAAATAGGCAACGCACTGTTACAAATACCTATAGTGGGAAGGAAATTTAAAAGATTTATATTCTAATGAGAGGGGTGTACATCAAAAGAACAAATAAAAGGGCAAAATGTACTTGCCATTAATGGTCTAGATACCAAGTGTTGCTTTTATTTTGATCATCGTGGGCTGGCGTCAGGAAAAGGTACAGGAAAAGACTGATCTTTGCAGGATGGGCAGGATTCTGAGAAATAGAGCAGAATGGAAGGATGATATAGGTGTAACCAACAGCACAGAAACAACGTAGAGCACGGATTCCGGGGACTGTTGACGTTAGCACCAAATTCATTCTTAATTATAATTGACCAAGATTACACAGCAAGAAATGGACATGGAAGCTAAAATCAGAGTTTTCACTTCCAGCTCTGATAGACTTTGTTAACTTTGTTGTCCTCTCCCTCTCTCTCCCTCTCTCTCTCTCTGTCGCGCGCGCGCGCGCGGGCGCACACGCACACACACACTTTGAAGCAAAGAATTTGTGGGACGAAGAACCAAAGGTTTAGCATAAATTGTTAACATCAGTCAAGATATCTCCAATTTAAGGATTTTTTTTTTTTTTTGTACCGGGGATCGAACTCGGGTCCTTGTGCTTGCAGAGCAGGTGGCGACCGTTTTCTGTGCGCAGTGAAGAGTAACTGAATGCCTCCCTATAAAATAACCAAAGTGCCTTCTCTGCATATTGATTTTATTTTAACTCTTAAATTTGTTTTACACTGCACAGATACATTGCTGCAGTGTGCCTAGACAAATTTGCAGATTAGGAGCAGATTTTATTGTACAGCAGCATAGACCCTCTTCAGTGAAGACATCTCAGGGTCCCCCAATCCCCGGGTTGGCCTTGCCTGAGCCTGTTACTAACAAGAATTGGCTCTCTGCAGCCACCGTCTCTCATTTGAGGGCCCATCCAATCAGAACTGGCAGGAAGGGGCGGGACGGAGAGGCGCGCATTGCGCTTCTTGCTGTACCTATAAACGCGTGATTTTATTATGGAGAGTATTTGTGCAAAGTTTGTGTCTCAAAAAATCAGCAAAACCCGCTGGCGACCGCTGCCTCCCGGGAGCCTGCAGACCCCGGAGACCTTTGCTACAGGATCTTGGGACAACGAGGTAACCCCTCTCCGGGGTTGGGTAGCCCTTGGCTCCCCTGGGGTTTCCCGCCTTGTCGCCTGCGGACAAGCTCACTTTCTGGCTCTTTTCGCTCTTCTTGGTCCCCGATCCGCTCTCTCGGGCTCGGTTGTCCTGTAGCTCAGAGCCAGAGATGGTGTACTTGAGACATGTATCTTGTTTTAAACTCTTACCATACCATTCGCTTGACATGCTTTTGAAGCAAGGATAAGTAAAGGAATACAAATTTTACTTTTCAAAAGTTGACGTCATCCTAAGATAAAAATCTTTTGCTTTGCAGGACAATTATGTTTCACTGTGGTCTATTGGAGATTATGGAAATTTGGACTCTGATGGAGGGTTTGAAGGAGACCATCAGTTACTGTGTGATATCAGACACGATGGTGATGTCATGGATTTACAGGTAAATCTTTATTTTAAAAAACTGTGTTGTACCGAAAAGCAAACTTTACAAAAACAAAACAGTACGAAAAAATTAAAAAACAAAAACAAAAAAACAGTACGATTAGAGATGTGAGGTTCTCAGTAGGGTTTACAGGAAACTAAATTCTCTGTGGTTTATGATTTCCCATCATTAGCCACTTATTTGTAGAATCAGGACTAGAAAAGGGAGTGTAGATTTAATCATAGCTTTAATTGTCCATCTACTATGTGCCAAGCTCTGTTTCAGGAGCTTAATACAAGTTAATTCTTATTGCATATGTATGAATCAAGTTTTTTTTTCCTTCCTCTGGTGTTAGGGACTGAACCCAGGGCCTTGTATATGTTGGGCAAATGCTCTGCCATTGAGATGTATCTCCAGCCCTAAAGTATTAATATCTCTGGTTACTCTGGGGAAATTAACACTAATATCTTTTGGGCACATAGTATGTGGCAAATGCAGTGCCTGACAATGTACATAAAATTGATTCTTGAATTCTCCTAACAACACCCTAAGTAGCTATTAGTACTCTCCCTTTTAAAAGTTCACCAAAATTTAAAGAACTTGAATTCTCTAAATAGAGTCTCAAACTAGGCATGGTGGCTCACGCCTATAATTACAGCACTGGGGAGGCTGAGATAGGAGGATCCCTGGGAGTTCTAGGATAGTGTGGGATACATAGAGGAGAGACCATGTGTCAAAAAGCCAGATAGATAACCAGTAGTAAATGGTGGATATGAAATTAAGTTTTCAAAGCTGGATGTGGAGGTGGATGCCTATAGTTCCAGCTGCTGGGGAGGCTGAAGCAGAGGATCTCTTGAGCCTAGGACTTTGAGATCCACCTGGGCAATATAGAGAGAATTCATCTCAAAAAAACTAGTTTTCGGGCCAGGGATTTAGCTCAGTGGCACCACACCTGCCTCACAAGCACAAGGTCCTGAGTTTGATCCCCAGTACCCTCCCCCCAAAATTAAGTTTTCAAATCCTGATCTGTGTGACTTCAAAGTCCAAGCATTTTACTCTGTAGAAAGTTGCCTATCCCTAGCAATGATACCTTTCTAAATTTTTATTGTTATGGTCCAAAATTTAATAAATTATAGGTGAATGAGTTTAGGGAAAATATTTATCCTTCGTGAAAATACTTTTATTTGTATAGCAGTTTTGACTTTGAAATCTTTTAACACATTTTACTTGCTTAGCATCTATGGGCTCTTTGATTTTGGAAATTGTTATAGAGTTTACTAATTGAGTTGAACAAATGGGCTTTTCCCTACTAAAATTTCTGAATCTCTAACAACCAGGAAATTTCAATTTAGTTTTTTGACCAGGAAAGAATTGTAGCTGCTTCTTCAACAGGATGTGTAACAGTTTTCCTTCACCATACAAATAATCAGGTAAAGAACTTCTGCATGAAAAGCAAGTTGTACTTTATTCTTATGAATGCTTAAAGAAAACTGTGCTTAAAATTATACAAATAATGAAGTGTTAAAACATGAAGCAACCCAGGTGTGGTGCCAGGTGGGTGCTTCACCTATTCTAAAAGCTCAGGAAGATTACTTGAGCCCAGGAGTTTAAAACCAGTCTGCACAACATAGTGAGAGTCAGTCTTAAAAGAAAAAGAGCATGTACTTAACTGCTAAGCTATACCCACAGCCCTATCTTACCCACTCTTTGGCAGATTAATTCTAGAACCATGTTCGTGTGTGCTTTTATGGAAATTGGACACCCCTTAAA